GAGGTGGTGGTGTTGCTTGCTGCGGCTGTAGCTAGAAGAAAGAAGAGGCACAAGGTCAGGTCTTAAATAGCGGGGTTAGGCGTGGCTTAGTAGTTGACCTCTGTGATGTATGGCGGCGCTGGTTGACCCAGACCACGAGGCATACACGGGAATTCGCGGGTCGGCTACTCAGTGACAAACAGCGTTTGTAGAAAATCCAACATCACCCACATGAATCTGATCTATGTATATATGTGTGTAGGTATTGTTTATGTGTGTGTGTGTATATATATATATTTGATAAAATCACGGGAAAATGCAGAGCACCTTAGCTTTCCTTTATTCAAGACATCTTCAGTTGCCCTGAAAATGTCTTGAATAAAGACGAAAGCAAGTGCTGTGTTTCTTTCCCGTGATTTTATCAAGATTTATCTTATCCACGTTTTCAGGGATTTACGAAATATATATATATATATATATATATATATATACACTTCTGTGTGCTGTACTCACCCTGATGTAAATATACCTAGAACTGTGTTTCTTTACTATATATATATATATATATATATATATATATATATATATATATATATATACTGTTAATGAATATGATGAACCTCTGTCCTGCGTGGCAGTGAGAAGTGATACCACCCTCAGTGTCAAGACCTGACTGAATTACTCAGAATAGGCAAACTGTACTCCAAGCTTTTTCCATAAATTTGTTAAACTAAAAGGAGTGCAATTCGAACATGGGCTGATAAACAACAGGGCCTGCAAACAATGCATATCCCAGTGCCGAATGGGGGTATTCTTGATACTGTCATGACAAAAACCTGCAGAGACCCTCGGCCAGATTGAAAGAATACACCAGGAGTGGCTTGATGAAAATGACCCGGAAATCAATGCGCTCGTCGATCACAAACATGCTGCTTTAACTGCCTGGCAGAACAACCCTCAGTCTCGGACCAAAGCAAATACCTTCCACAAGAAGAGAGCGGCAGCCCAGCATGAACTTCATTATCTAAACTCTAAAGAATGACTGGTTTAAAAAGTAAATCATGTGAAATGCAAGAACTTGCAGATCAACACAAGATGCACGAATTTTTAAATTCCACTAAAACATTTTATAGGCCAATCCGCTCATCTGATGGTAACTCAACCGAAACACTGATGTGGATATCCTGACTACCCAGTAAGTCCCTCAGCATCCAGAGCTGACCCACCTCATCTATCCTCCATCCCTGGACGAGGTAGCAACTGCCATCAAACAGATGAAAAATAACGAAGCCTCAGGGCCTGACGGAATCTCAGCCGAGGTGTATAAAGAAAGGAGGACCTCTGCTTACCAGCCATCTTCAATCTCTCCTGGAGAATATATGGGAACAGGAGGCAATTCCCCAAGCTCTTAAAGACAACATCGTCAATATTTATACGAACAAAGGAGACGGGCCAGACTGTGGCTACTACCGCGGGATCTCGCTGTTGTCCGTAGCTGGCAAGATTATCGCCTAAGTCCTACTAAACAGACTTCTCCCCGAGACAGAAAATTTCCTCCCAGAATCCCAATATGGCCTTAGACCATCATGTGGCACCACTAACATGATCTTTGCTGCCCATCAGATACAGGAAAGTGCAGAGAACAGCTTCGCGACCTGTACATGGCTTTCATCGACCTAACCAAGGCCTTCGACTCGGTCAGCAGGGAAGCCCTCTGGTGGACCCTCAGCCATTTTGGCTGCCCATCAAAATTCATCGCCATTGTGAGGCAACTCCACGATGGAATGAACGGCAGTATCCTGCACAATAGCACCTGTTTGCCATCATGATTGCTACATGTGGACTTTTTAACCCAAGCCAACTCTGGAAAAACCACCAAGAAAGTCTTTCAGAGGATCTGCTTCATCAAGCAACAAGAGAACATCCTGGTCAAGAGATTGAGTTCATGGATGCCATGTTCAACAGGGCTCTGATCATGCTGGAAGACAAAGTGACGGAGCTATGCGGAAAAAACCTGACTGATTTTCGATTGCCTTCCCCAAACCGAGAAGAACCAGAAGTGGCAAACAGGGAGTTGCTCAGAGAGACAGACTACTCAGTTGAAGTTCTGGTGAATTTTCTTGAAGAAAATGAGCCTCACCAGGTGCCTGATCAAGCAAATGCTTATGAACAGATCTTGCAAGCGATACAAGCGGAGCAGGGAGGTATGATCTTTCTCGGTGCACCTAGCGGGACAGGAAAAACATTCCTGATAACCTTATGTTGGCCAAAGTACGTCATCAGGGGAAAATTGCTCTTGCTGTGGCATCCTCAGGCATTGCTGCAACACTACTAGAAGGAGGACGTACTGCACACTCAACTTTTAAATTGCCTCTCAAGCTCGCTCACAATGAGAATCCAGTGTGCAACATCAAAAACGGATCGGCAAAGGCAAAACTCTTAGAAAAATGCAGCCTCATAGTCTGGGATGAATGCACTGTCTCACAAGTTAGCGTTTGAAGCATTGGACAGGACCTTGCAAGACATACGAGAAAATGATCAGCTCATGGGTGGCATTACAATGGTCATTGCTGGAGAATTTCGCCAGACCCTACCTGTCATTCCTCGGAGCACTCCAGCTGATGAACTGAATGCGTGCCTCAAGGCATCATACCTTTGGAGAAGTGTTCAGACACTCACTCTATCCACAAACATGAGAGTACATCTACAAGGAGATCAGGATGCTGGACGGTTTGCAAACCTTCTACTACAGCTTGGGAATGGAACTTTCCCTGTTGATTCAGGACAAATAATCATTCCTTAAGGATGTGGAAATGTTGTAAAGTCCTCAACTGAGCTCACGAACATGGTCTACCCAAACATTATCCACCACTACAAGGATCACAAGTGGCTGCGTGAACGCGCAATTCTGGCACCAAAGAATGAAACAGTGGCTGAAATCAACATGACTCTACTCAGACAGCTTCCAGGCAGTGAGACCTTATTCAAATCTGTTGATACAGTAATCGACAAGGACCAAGCAGTCCAGTACCCTGCAGAATTCCGTAATTCTTTGGAGCCCGCTGGAATGCCTCCTCACCACCTCACTCTCAAGATTGGAACTCCTATAATGTTCTTAAGAAATCTTGAACCACCAATCCTCTGCAATGGCACAAGACTGGTGGTGAAGAACATGATGCCACATGTACTGGAAGCTACAATACTGACAGGAAAAGCTAAAGGAGAGGATGTTTTTATACCAAGGATACCTCTCATTACCACTGACCTGCCATTTGAGTTCAAGCGACTTCAGTTCCCGGTTAAAGTGAACTTTGCCATGACCATCTGCAAAAGCCAGGAACAGTCCTAAAGATGGTTGGCCTAAACCTGGTGTTTCCTTGCTTCTCTCATGGACAGTTCTATGTTGGATGCTCCAGAGTGGGAACTGGCAAAAATCTGTACATACTTGCTGCAAAGGGCAAAACCAAAAATGTGGTCTACCTTAATGTACTACAGTGAGACAATTTGGAGCCTCCCGGAGGGTGGCGTCCTACTGTGGCCTTGTTACGTGGAAAGCGTAGTTTCATAACGTAGAGGACAACCAGGGAAAACACAAGCATCTTAACTAAGTTGGGTTTCTAATTACCCTGTACTAATGTTTCTGAAAAACATTTCTCATCATCAGAGCCTAGAAAGCAGTCAAAAAGTTTTAAAAAATACAGGTAAAATACAATAAAAACGAAATGTTATACTAAAATTTACCTTCCTCAAATTTAAAAAGAAAATTTTAATTTAAAATCAATAAAAATAACGGGAGACCTACGTACAAAACTAAAATAATTTTTTTCTTCTCATTTGAGGAAGGTAAATTTTAGTATAATATTTCGTTTTTATTGTATATTACCTGTAAATTTTAATTTTTTTGACTGCTTTCTAGGCTCTGATGATGAGAAATACTTTTCCGAAACGTTACTAATTAAAGAAACCCAACTTAGTCAAGATGTTTGTGTTTTTCCTGGTTCTCCTCTTCATATATACAAGTAGATATACCAGATATAATATGTAAAGACTTAACTGGAGTAAGTCCCGAATTTCTTTTTACAAATAAATACTAAAGAAAGCTTCATTGATGAGATATCCCACTTAGAAGTGTAATAAATATAAGATATATAGATACATAATATTATATACAAAAATGTGCATGCACCTAAGTGAAAAGGTACATGCACACAGAGCCGCATACAAACACATTTACATACACTCTCTTCTCTTTGTTACTCTACTAGCCTCTTTCTCTGCTCGTTATCACCTCTTCTCTCCCGCCTTCCATTCACCGTCACTCCACACATTGTTGGGCTTATCTCTTCACGGATGCCCAAAATAACACATCTCTTAAACCAAGGGATCTACTGCTCCTTGACAAAGGCCCTAGAAGACTCGCTGAGTACGAAGGAGTGTCGGTAGGGAGCCCGATAAGAGGCAGAGAGAGGCAGTTTGGTAGGATGGCTGGAGGAGAGGCAGGGTAGGAAGAAGGCAATTGATTATTTCTCAGTAACAAGATGTACTGATAGGGGGCGCAGGTAAGATAGGCAATGGGGGACTCACCTCACACTACTCACACGACTAAATTTTCAATTATGACGTACCTGATATTAGTTCCATAAAAAACATACTAATAATCACTACGCCAACAATCAACAAAATGCATTGGAAAACTAACTTCATTCAGACAAATAGACACAGGAAACATTTACACAACTCTTTATTCCGTTTAACAAACACAGACTGACATATCTTACCTACATAAGAAATACTTAATATAAAACAGTATACTGAATGCACAACAGGGACAGTGGTACCAATTGTCTTCCACAAGTCTTGGTAACAGGTCAAACAACAATATTCGTCACAGCTGGGCGAGACTTGTGGCACATACAAACAAACAAACAAACAAACAAACAAACAAACAAACACACACACACACACACACACACACACACACACTTACACACCAAAAGTGACAACAACGTAAAGTTCCTCACAAAAAAAGGTATAAGGCCCTTCTCCCTGTCATTGTGGATGGCCTCCACCACCTTGTCGCCTCTCATGCTCAGGTTGTCGTCGCTTTCAATGTAACGCATCTTCACCAACCCGATCAAGCCGGCCTTCTCCACCGACGAGTGTGCCTGTATGGAAAGACCACGATATACCAGGATTAGGATACACAGTATCTTCACCAGTCTCGCCATTAGTATACCTTTATGGGAAATGTGAATATGTAATGGTACACCTGGTTATTGGGGTGAAATATTATTGGGGTGACTCTCAAATTGAGTAAGCCAATAAAGGTGACCTAGAATGGAACAAAATTGATATCAATGAAGACCGCATGAGATATGGGCTCTAGAGGGTGCCCTTAAGAGAGTATGGTGGCAACAACTCGGGCCACGAAAGAATCTCCCCGTGGGTCAGTCAGTCATCCAGGTTATATGTTCATAGATCTAAACTTATCAGCGAAAAGAATACAGTACATGCTGATGGTGATGTTGGTGGTACACAACAAAATACAGTACATGATGATGGTGGCTGTGCATAAAAATACAGTACGTGGTGATAATGGTAGTGGTCGTGGTGGTGATAAGGGTGGTGATGGTGGACAACACAATACAGTATATGGTGATTGTAAAGGCCTGGCCTGCAGGATATAAATCCCTTGCCAGCCTTATCAGGATCTTATAAAAAAGAAAGTCAAGAAGCATGGGTTTCCAAAGGGTAATAAACAACCTTTAGAGACTGACATCTCTTTACTAAGAAAAAAAAACTCTGACATCACTCACACAAATATTAAATAAACAGCACTGGCGTCAAACAATTACTTAAATCAAAACAATCAATAAAACACAGAACATGTGTTTCCTACAGCTGCAGATGAATCTGCCTTCTACCCCGCCCTGTAGAATGTTCTGGTAACGCTGTGATCCGCTCTCAGAGGGAAGGTCCAGGGCAGCTTCCTCATTTGGCGCCGACGTTGGTAGGCGATGTTTTGCCACACAAGAGAGACGCCAGAGCACGGACGATGGATAGGGCATAGAGGAAGTTGCAATCACGTGGCAGCCGCGGCAGTAGCTGGATTAAGTGACAGGAGTTGACAGCCGAATAGTGAAGGACTGGGGAATCAGCCCACGAGACCCAGGAACCTCAGATGAGTACATAACCAGAGTTGGAATCGCACAGCGGGGTGAAGTAACAGCTGTGGTGTAGGCTGGATCTTGTCTGGCGTGATACGAGGCAGCAGCGACCTTCTCACCTCCGTCTCTCCCCTCTAGTGGGGCGGCAAACGAGCGGCGGACAACCATTTCGCTCGTTACAGCCCTTGATGGTGTACAAAAATACAGTATGTGACAGTGGTGGTGTTGATGGTGTTAGTGTTGGTGAAAGTGAACAACAAAATACAGTACATGGTGAAAGTGGTGATGGTGGACAACAAAATACAGTATATGGTGTGACGACTATGTTCCCTCCTCACTCTACCACCATAACCATCACTTGCTTCAACTGGACACCAGGAGAAGAAACCGCTTCACGAAGCTACTCGACCCCAGTGAGCACCGTTTCAGAACCACTTTCCTATCCGACTATGAGACCAGTTTCCCATCTGACCATGAGACCGAGGTATCGGGGCAAGTGTGTCTGCCTGGTAAGCTGAGTCTCTCTTCTGCGGCTGACTGTGTTTCTCTTTTCCCGAGGTGTGGACGCCGAATTGTATTGAGGACTACTGCTGGTGGTGTTTTGATAGTAGTGGACTACGGCGTTAATCCCTGGTTCCTTGTGGTTGTCCATCGCAACCTAGACTTACTACCTGAGCTGCCATTTCTATCAGGTTTTGTGTTGTTGTATATAGTATGTGTATTTAATTTATACTGTAAAAATAATTGGGTAATATTCTGGTGTGTTTTGACAAATGCATAGTTGTTACTTTTGTTTTGATAATTTCATATTTAGTTTTACTTGTGTTATAAGGTACCTATTTAACTAACTTAATCAACACTTAATATAAAATGCTATTAAATTACTTAGTTTACATGATAATATTCTTATCCTTTTCATAACATAAATTTGTCTGTCACGTTAAGTGATTCTTGTGTGTGAGAGCTCCTTACTTGCTGCATCCACGTATTTCAATCCCTAAATTATTCACTCTATATTTTTACTTGTCAACTTTGCCTTACCTCAATGTTGTGGGTAGCAAGGAGGGACGTCACGATGGTGATAGTGGACAACAAAATACAGTAAATGGTGTTGGCGGTCATGGTGGACAACAAAATACAGTACATGGTGATAGTGATGATGGTGAACCACAAAATACAGTGCTGTACATGGTGTTGGTGACGGTGGTACAACAAAATACAGTACATGTTGATAGTGAACGACAAAATTCAGTACATGGTGATAGTGGTGATGGTGAACCACAAAATACAGTACTGTACATGGTGTTGGTGACGGTGGTACAACAAAATACAGTAAATGGTAATGGTGGACAACAAAATACAGTACATGTTGATAGTGAACGACAAAATACAGTAAATGGTGATAGTGGTGATGGTGTACAACAAAATACAGTACATGGTGATAGTGGTAATGGTGAACCAAATACAGTAGATGGTGATAGTGGCCAACAAAGTACAGTAAATGGTGGTGGTGGTGAACAACAAAGTACAGTAAATGGTGATTGTGGTGAACAACAAAATACAGTACAACAAAATACAGAACATGGTGATGGAGGTGGAAAAACAAAATACAGTAAATGATGATGGTGGCAGACCCAAAAAATACAATACATGGTGGTGGTGGACAACGAAATATCATACAATACATTGTGATGGCTGTGGTGTTGATGTTGGTGATGGTAGACTACAAAATACAATACATGGTGGTAGTGATCGTGGTGATGGACAACAAATTACAATATATGGTGTTGGTGATGGTGGAGGTGGTCATAATGCTGGTGATGTTGGTGGACATAAATACATTACATGGTGGTGATGATGGTGGACATAAATACATTACATGGTGGTGATGATGGTGGTAGTGATGGTGGTGGTAGTGGACATTTAAATACAGTATATGGCAATGGTTGTGGAGAGTAGGTTGTATTATGTGTAGTGGTGGTGGAGAGCTGGACATGGTCTTAAAAATGGCAGATGAAATTTAATGTGGACAAATGTAAAGTACTAGTCTAGGAGATGTAAACAAAGAAACCAGATATCAGATGAACAACGTTGTTATAGAGAAATCCGACTGTGAGACAGACCAAGGAGTAATGATAAGTATGATTCTTAAACCAAGACAACAATGTGTATTTGCTCGAAACAAGGCTAACAAAGTACTTGGGTTCATAGAAAGGAATGTTAGGTACAAGACTAGCGAGGTTACCCTAAAACTGTATCTGGGGCTTGTGAGACCTCACTTGGATTTTGCAGTTCAGTTCTGGCCACCATACTACAGAATGGACATATAATCTCTAGAAAGAATTAAGAGGAGAATGACAAGACTAAGGTATTAGGAACCTTGAGTACAGAGACAGGTTAAAGCATCTTAATTTGCACTCCCTCGAGAGACGTAGAGTGAGGGGCGTTATGATAGAGGTGTATAAATGGAAATCAGGGCTGAACAAAGGTTATATAATAAAGGTACTCACACTATCCAATCAGGAGCGAACTCGTAGCAATAGTTTTAAATTAGACAAATTTAGATTTAGGCGCGAACTAGGTAAGCACTGGTTTGGAAATAGAGTATTGGATGAGTGGAAAAAGTTACCAAACATCATCATTAACTCGAATACTCTGGATAGCTTCAAATATAGGTTAGATGGATATATGAGCGATAGGGGTTGGGTGTAAACTGGACTGCCCAGTATGGGCAAATAGGTGCTCTGTAGTTTCTTCCATTCTTATGTTCTTATGTTAACTCCAGGGAACAGAAACATATTTATTTTTAAGACCGGCAAGAGTAACACTAGGAATCAGCTGTATTCTTCCGTAGAACTGCAGGCTAGCCATGAAGAGATTAAAGAGCACATTCTCTTTTTGCACGCTGTATTCAAAAGGAAAAAAATGACATTGTTAAAAAAAACGCGATGGCATATGTTTTCTCCTGAACGTATTTAATGACAAAAAGGCCTATTCAGATGAAATTGCCAGAGTAGGAGAACTTTTCTTTTTTTCATTGTACTTTATGTGGCACTTACGATTGAAACCTTTTAAGTCAGTATTGCATCAAGAACTTTGACAAAGCAATTGGTCACAGTAATAGTGCACTCTTGCATTTCCTGCGAGTTTACCATCAAGTTCAATTATGGCGAGGTATTCTATTACCACCTGAGACTTGGGGATGGAAAATTCATCATAATGGATTGTTCCCTATTCCAACTTTTTAGGCAGCAGCTCCAGAGTCGCGTTTGAATTTAATATCCTGCACATGCAAAAAGAGTTGTGATGGACGATGTAGCTGCAAAAAAGTAATCACTGTCAAGGATTAGCATGTGTCAACGCTATGCCTCGCAACATTACTTTTCAAGAAGATAATTTTGATGAACACGACATAAGAACATAAGAAAATAAGGAGTCTGCAATAGGCCGGTTGGCCTGTGCATGGCAGCTGGCAGCTCCTGTCGAGAGTTACTACCACTCTTTATCATCCACGAATCCATCCAGCCTCAATTTGAAACTTTCCAGCGTTCCCGCACTTACTACAAAGTTGTTACGCTTGTTCCACTCGTCCACCACCCTATTTGTATACCAGTTCCTTCCTATCTCCCTCCTAAACCAAAACTTATCCAACTTCAATCCGTTGTTCCGAGTCCTATCCTGCTCGGATATTATAAGAACTTTATCTATATCACCTTTATTGATTCCTTTCACCCACTTGAATACTTCTATCATATCTCCCCGCACTCTTCGTCTTTCTAGGGAATGCAAGTTTAGTTTCTTTAACCTATCCTGATATGGAAGGTTTCTAAGTCCCGGAATCATTTTCGTCATTCTTCGCTGCTGCACCGACTCTAGTGAATTGATATCCATTCTATAATAAGGGCACCAGAACTGAACCGCATAATCGAGGTGCGGCCTGACTAGCGCAAGATATAGTTGCAATAAGACCTCTGCACTCTTATTACTTACACTTCTAGATATAAAACCCAATACTCTGTTTGCCTTATTTCGAACATTAACGCACTGTTTTCTAGGCCGTAGGTCCGGGCTTACAAGTACAAGTCGACTTCTCTTGGTTGATGTTGTTAAGGCTGTATACATTGACAGTATTTGTTCTTCCAATATTAAGTACGCTGCACTTGCTGGTGTTGAATTTCATTTGCCATTTTTCAGACCACCCCTGCAGTTTATTTAGATCCTCCTGTAATGCATTTGCATCCTGCCCTGAATTAATCTGCCGCCCTATTTTGGTGTCATCCGCAAACTTGCTTATGTCACTGCTGATCCCAGTATCTACATCGTTTATGTAGATTATGAACAAGAGTGGGCCTAGTACTGACCCCTGGGGAACCCCACTGGTTACACGACCTCACTCAGATTTAACACCATCTACGCTGACCCTCTGCGTTCTATCGGTGAGCCATGATTTTATCCAATTTAAAACTTTCCCCTCGATACCATAAGCCTTAATTTTTCTCAGAAGCCTCTGATGCGGTACTCTGTCAAATGCTTTGCTAAAGCCTTCTTATTGATAATGGATACAAGGATAAAGTTGTGTTGTGGAAGATTACAATGTAGTCGGTGTTCCTGAGAATGAAAACTTTTTTAATGCTGACCATAATTGTCACAGCAGCACCAAATTTTACTCAAATATTTCATGTATAACTACTAGTACTGGTCAGGTTGTGAAGAGAGAAACTTTCATAAAAAAAACATTAATAGTGGAATAGGCCAACTGGGGATAGCATATACGAAAAAAACCCCGCCATGTACGTACACTACCTCAGTGTGGTATAGAAAAGGGTACCAGATGGTGTAAAAATTACAGTAAAGGAGGAGTGGCCAATGGGAAAGTAGAGTAAAATGTTTGTTTTCTCGGAAGTATTAGTTGTATGGAATTCATGAATACGAGTATACCAACATGTGCAGAATCTTAACCTCTTCCTTTTTGTTATGAAGTATCATCTCCCCCAAAGCAACAGCTACCGAGTAAAACATGAAAAAAAGCGAACAGCCACCATTTTTTTCAGGATGGCGGCTAAAGCTCACCTCTGATAGGTCAGGATGTTTGGTACGTTGTTTAGGAACGTATTTCCAATAATTTTACCAAGTATTATTTCATTATGACTGAGTTCAACTTTTTCTTCCTAATTTCCTCGGACTAGTAGTGGAAAACTGGTGATGGTGGTGGACAAGATATAGGTAAGGGTCACGAACACTACGATACTGTGGGTGATGGTGGTGGTTGTAGACGGTTCACCTGCAGTGAGAGACTGTGGACACCAACGAATTTTCTTAACAAGAGTGTGAGGTATCCCTGGAGTGTGGACAATAGCAGCAATTTTTTTCTTTGTTTATACAGTATACTAATGGGCTTTTGTCTTATGAATTTGCTGCGGTGGTGTTTGTAGCCAGACTCTTCCAGTGGAATTTTAGGGTTGACCCAGATCAACGTGTGGAGACGTGAGGGACAGATGAAGAGCCTGGCTCGCCGGGAGATACATCATCAACACCCTCGTTTATGTAAATGGCAAGGGTAAATTGATAACATTACCTGAATCTCCTGGGCATTTCGGAGACATATTATGATTACAGCGGAGAAAAATAAACCTATTTATAAATTAAAATTAAGATTACTGCACATGAAAAACACACAGAAATCTATTAAGAAGTGGAGTGAAATAGTAATTTTTAAACAAGAGCAATACAAAACTTCCTGAATATAACAATCAAAAGAGGTTAATTGTACAAGGATTTTGCTTTTAAATTCATTACCAAAAGCGGCAGTGTACATTCATAATCTCAGGTGAAATATACTGAAGTAAAACACCATTCAGCATTAGAGGCGAGGAGGAATGACCCGGAATCTTGAGGCAAAAAGTTATGCAGAGGCTGACGTTATAAAACGTTTGTGTTTGGGTTCATTGTAATATACAGACCATCAATTTTTCCACAAATACAGCCTTTTAGTTTATACTGGACAGTTAAGCATAATAGGCCCCAAAGGACTGGCAAAATATTCACTGCATAGGAGATAGAGAGGCCAGCACCGCACTCTACCGCTATTCACTACCCATGCTGTAAATATACTGCAGATACCCGTCCTACAACTAGGTCATCTATGGGTGCTTCACTGAGGGCCGAGTGCAGGACTCGAACAGAAAACATCTGATCAGGAAGGTGGTGCTAGATCTATTGTAGATGCTCGCCGCTCTCCTGGTATATATATGACTTATATATATATGTGACTTTTTTCATGCGACTTTATTTCCATTCACCGCCACAACACCGGTCTCCACGACAGCCACCGCTGCTCCAGCACACCCGTTAACTCTTTACTAATGTTGCCAGACAAAATACAGCGGGAACACTCTCCCTCCATACACGGTAATCGAGGGCAACCCATGCTGCCTCAACCACAGCTGCTGCATGTCTCGTAGTAGAGCGGATAAAAAAAATCGTGCAAATGGTGATACAAGCATGAAATTTGGCATGATCATACCCTCGGGGCTACTTGTCAAATCGGCCTGATTGTCCATTTGGAAATCGAAGATGGCTGCCAAATTGACCTTCGAAAGATGTTTTTTTTATAGAAACTGATGTAGCTGGTCAATCTAAATGATCTTGGTGTTGATATGTATGTTTTCAAGCATGCTCAGATGATTTTTTTTCTATTTCTGATACTCTCAGATATATCTCTGTCTTATTTATGACTGGTTTTATATACTGGTTTTATGTTTTTTTCCAACTAGGTGAGGGTTGCATGCAGAGGGTCTCTGCATGTGAGGGAGTGATTGTCGGGCACTGCCAGGGCACACTGGTGACATCACTGCTGTGCAACCCAGCATGGGGTTCAGTGTCAGCTAAGAAAAAGCATGGTACCTCAAGTAGCGATATTGGTCGAAAATTTTCGACTTTGTTTGGAGGCTTCCCTGCTTTTAGTTTGAGGCGGATAACGACGATTTTGAACATCTTAGGGAAGTATCCAGAGGCGAGGCAGCAGGATCATCAGCACCTGCTCCAGCTTCTCGCACGGACTGACTTTACTAGACTGGTGGACGACAGCTACCTGCGGTTGTGTCAGCCGTCATAAAAGGGTTTAAGAACAAATCACCTTGGCAAAGACATATTAACAAGAAGATCCTGGCCTAACTCCCCGACGACACGATAGAGAGGCTTGCTAATATATGCAATGCCTGCCTTGCTTGCGTGGGATATTTCGAGGAGACGCCATTAACCGCAGAATCTTGGAGATGGAAGAAAAGGCCACAAGAGACCAAGACTCAAAGTTTTGAAATGAAACCCAGTTAAGAACCATCTGTGGGTCAAGACGATTCCAACAACACCATATATGTAGAAATAGTATATCTGGGATGGGAGTAATGCTCAGACAGACAGACAGACAAACAAAAACTTCTAAATATATCCGGAAGATTATAACTTTAATTTTATTAATGGTATATATCTGTTATTCATCGTGTCTGCTAGTATTCTTTGTTGTGTAACATTATACAGTATTATCCCACGCCTCTTTCCTTATATGACTAATCTCAGCAGACAGTAACAGTACTGTTGTACTTGACCAGACGTCGTATTGTAAGTTTAATTTGCTTGTTTATCGTTATTCACGTCCTCTCCTAATTGAGACAAAAAGCGCTAAAGAAGAAAGCGATACTGCACTTCAAGGGTAACTAAGATACTGTGCTCACCTGGTCGGAGCAGTAAGCCACAAGTCGCGAGTTAATCTCGGCGTCCTCCAGGTCCGGGTATTCCTGTTGATACCTCTGGATTGCTTCTGTCCGTGCCGCCAGCAGACACACAAACGTCGCCTCTGATGCTGTGGTCTAGACAAAAATGGTACTAAAATAAGTTTGTGCATGAAAATAGAATTTTATATATTTAGAAAATTTTAAGAATATTTCCTACTCGCAACCAAAGGATGAAGTAGTGAAACGTATATATGGATATATGACTTTATAACTAATTAACAAGAGAGTTTAATCTCAAAATTTGTATTTGTTGGTGGACTAGTGTATTTACTATACTTGTTGCGCACTTAAAAGACCTTAGTTCTTGAAGCTTGCTAACACCACCACCCTCCCACTACCACCAATGTCACCACCACCACTCCTAAAATATTACAATCAGCTTCAAAATCACTATCACTATTCATGTCATTATTATTCTTACAGCAACTCAATCACGACCACCATTACCACTCCCACTAAAAGAATCATACTTCAAATAACATCGTCACCACCAATACTCCCATTGGCATCACAACCATCACTGCTAGTAAAAGCACTACCTCTACTGTCACCATTGCAAATATTTAAATTCCACCAACACCAAGACAGCCACCAACAACATCATTACCACTAAAACAAACATCATCAATATTACTTACACTACAATCACTACCACCACTACTACCACCACCATCCGTACCATTACGGCACCACCCTTAGCACCGACACCTTCATTACTATAACCACGAATACAACCACCACCACAACCATTATCTCCCGCCCCTCCTCTAGAATCAGTTATTGGGGGGGGGGAGGGGAGGATGATGGTGAGAGTGTGGGGGAAGACGTCGTCATCATCAAATCAACAAGAGACGTGACAGCTCATTAACAGTTATAGCGCGGCCGTCCTCACTACTGACTGTTGAGTGTGATTCCGGACACCACCCATCACCACCTTCCACTACACCGTCTCCTTAACCCAAACTAACATTATAATTCCATTAAATCAAACTTAAAAAAAACCTACTTAGCTCATAATACTAAGCAACATCCATAACAAAGTAATCACACAAACCATATAGCCAATAGAATATCTTTAACCTACGCTAAAGAGACAAAACTTTCTGACCTTTAACTTAGTAAATTCCCCAAAAGTTAACTGCAATATATTCCTTTAAACAACTTCTTTAATTTAAACTACTATTAGTGGACCAGCCAACATGGAAATTTCCAACTTCGACTGTACTGACGTGTTAATAGCAGGCATCCGTGTTGTATAAATTCTACTTGGATAAAAACCAGTAATAATGGTTAAAATTGGTAATAAATGATATTTTTATTTTAACAAATTCAAACCATCTTTGCTGGATCTTTCAGGCCAAAACTCAAAATACATCTGTTTGATAATTTTTCTGTACAGCATACTGTACACAATAAGCAAAACGGTAAGTATATATATATATATATATATATATATATATATATATATATATATATATATATATATATATATATATATATATATATATATATATATATATATATAATATATATATATATATATATATATATATATATATATATATATATATATATATATATATATATATATATATATAAAACCTTTTCACCTGGTTGGGTCATCTTACCCTCTGACCTGACTACCGACTGCTGCTGTGCTTTTGAAGATTAGTAGGGTCACTGCCTAGTGACCGGACCATTGTGGACTTGATCTCATCCTCCTCTACTGTATATATAAGCCTTGTTATGTATTTCTCCTTAGTCTGTACTCACCCCTGAAGATGTTAATTACACGAAAGCGCTGTTAACATGACAATACTGTCAAATTCTTTTCAAGAGGACCTTTCATTGTTTGGCTGGTTCACTATATTCAATCTTCTCATTTTTGTTATTAATCTACGAGTACACTTTCCCTAACTGAGACTAACTACTTAATATTCACAGCTGAACCATACCTAATGATTATCGCTTCTTCAAACTAAATGCACAAATTTTGGAACTCAAACACGAATCTTTCAAATATAAATTATAATAAAGCCTTTTTAAGGAGGTTATGTAGTAACTGAGTTAAGGATGTACCAGTCAGAGAAAAAGAAACCAGTTATTGAGGACGAAGAAGGTACATAGTAAGGAATTTAGTAATCGTCAGTGAGAAAGGGATGGTCCAGGAGATAATGACGCACTCAAAGTGGGAGATAAAGAGAAACTGTGGGGTAGATAGAGACATTGAGTGTGAGAGTTAGAGCTACACTTCGGAAACAGAAGCAGTCACAAGGAGATAAAGAGTGTCAGAAGGGAGATAGGCAGTCAATGAGGGAGATAAAGTCAGTGAGGGAGTTAGACACAGTTGGAGAAGGAAGGTACAGTTCGTGAGGGAGAGGGAGGTACAGTTAGTAAGGGATATAAAGGCACAGTTAATGAGAGAGACAGTCTAGTCATTACCTGTATTACTCCACCTCCAGGTGAGTCTTTGGAGGAGTGTAGGAACTGCTCTGGGAGTCCTATCATCTTGCCCAGCCAGTCCATCACTACAGTCTCCAGCTCCGTGCAGGCCGGGGAGGACGCCTGCCGACACACACACACACACCAACTCATTGCATTTATTGATATTTTATGGTATGAATGCATGATATTATTGTGTTCATGAATTAAGAAAAAATCGAAATAAAGTAAGACTTCTGATTTTTGTTACCCAAAATAGGGTGTAGCCTAAAATATTCACCGACAGAGTTTAAATAATATGCTGTACATGAAGCAATGAAGGTAATAAAAATAATAAAGGCCGTAATTTTTAACATCTAAAAAGTCAGACGCCAGTAGAGCTATGACCTGGGATTTGTTTTTTCTAGGTAATATATGCATAATGAATGAAAAACTCTCTATCTGTTATTGGTCTATGTGTTCTGATAAAGTCTTGGTGAATAAATGAATTCAGCAAACCAAAATTCCTTTGGCCTGTCAAAAGAAACATGTGAGAAAAATAGAATAATAAACTTATATGAAGTAGCTAGCTAGACAGATTGTGCAGAAAAACACATAAAACATCATAAAAATCTATCAAAATTTGGTGGAGCCTTTGTGATCACAATAAAAAAAAAGAAAGGCCCGTCAAAGATTTTCTAGTAACTGAGGCAGGAACCACTATGCGTTATGAGGGAGTGACATTAGCCAGCTGTAGTGTAAGTACGGTTGTGTGGGGTGTTAGTGTAGGAGTGAGGGAGGGTAAAGAAGGGGTTTGTAGTGGAAGCAAAGGGGGGGGTTGTTTGGAGTAGTGAAGGTAGTAAATGAGTGGTAGTGAGGGAGAGTTATGTTAGGTAATGAGGGTTTGTGTGAAGTGTTGAGGGACGTTTGTAAGTGGTAACGAGAAGAGGTCGTGTGTAGTAGTGAGGGAAGAGTGTGGTGGTAACGCGGGAAGAGTGTGGTGGTAACGTGGGAAGAGTGTGGTGGTAACGCGGGAAGAGTGTGGTGGTAACAGGAAGAGTGTGGTGGTAACACTTGGAAGAGTGTGGTGGTAACAGGGGAAGAGTGTGGTGGTAACACGGGAAGAGTGGTGGTAACGGAAGGAGTGGTGGTAACATGGGAAGGGTGTGGTGTGTGTGGGGAAGGGTGTGGTGGTAATGTGGGAAGAGTGTGGTGGTAACGCAGGGAAGAGTGTGGTGGTGACGCAGGGAGTGTGGGTGGTAATGTGGGAAGGGTGTGGTGTGTGTGTGGGGAAAAAGTGTGGTGGTAGTGAGGGAGGGTGTGTGGTGGCTGGTGAGGGAGGGGTGTGGTGGTGGTGGGGAGGGTGTGGTGTGGTGTGAGGGAGGGGTGTGGTGGTGAGTGAGGGGTGTGGTGGTAGTGAGGAGGGTGTGGTGGTGGTGAGGGGGTGGTGGTGGTGAGGGGTGGTGTGGTAGTGAGGGAGGGGTGGTGGTGTGGGGAGGGGTGTGGTGGTAGTGAGGGAGGTGTGGTGGCAGTGGGGGGTGGTGTGGTAGTGAGGTGTGGTGGCTAGTGGGGAGGTGTGGTGGTAGTGAGGGAGGGTGTGGTGGTGGTGAGGGTGTGGTGGCTGGTGAGGGAGAGTGTATCGTGGTAGTGAGGGAGGGGTGTGGTGGTGAGTGAGGGGTGTGGTGGTAGTGAGGAGGGATGTGGTGGCTAGTGAGGGAGGGTGTGGTGGTAGTGAGGGAGGGGTGTGGTGGCAGAGGGGAGGTGTGGAGGTAGTGAGGAGAGGTTGGTGGTAGTGAGGGAGGGTGTGGAGGTGGTGAGGAGGAGGTGTGTGGTGGTGGTGAGGGGGTGTAGTGGCTGGTGGGGAGGTGTGGTGGTGGTGGGGTGTGGTGGTGGTGGGGAGGGGGGTGGTGTGAGGGGGTGGTGGTGGTGGGGGGAGGGTGGTGGTGGTGAGAGAGGGGTGGTGTGGTGGTGAGGGGAGGAGTGGGGAGACGTGGGGGAGGTTGGTGGTGGAGTGAGGGACGGGTGTGGTGTTGGTGAGGGGAGGTGGTGGTGGTGAGGAGGGTGGTGGTGATGTGAGGGGAGGGGGTGGGGCAGTAAGGAAAGGTTGTGGGTGGTAGTGAGGGACAGGTGTGGTGGTAGTGAGGAGGTGGTGGTGAGTGGGGAAGGAGTGGGGGCAGTAAGGGAAGGTTGTGGTGGTAGTGAGGAGAGTTGGTGGTAGTGAGGGAGGGGGTGGTGGTGTGAGGGGAGGTTGGGGGCAGTGGAAGGGTGTGGGTGTAGTGAGGGACAGGTGTGGTGGTAGTGAGGGAGGGTGGTGGTAGTGAGGGAGGTGGTGGTAGTGAGGGAGGGTGGGGGCGTGAGGAAGGTTGTGGTGGTAGTGAGGACGGGTGTGGTGGTAGTGAGGAGGTGGTGGTATTGAGGGAGGGGGTGGGGGCTATAAGGAGAGGTTGTGGGTGGTAGTGAGGGACGGTGTGGTGGTAGTGAGGAGGATTAGGGCAGTAGGGAAGGTTGTGGTGGTGGCAGGGGACGGTGTGGTGAGTGAGTGAGGAGGGTGGGGGCTGGTAGGAAGGTTGTGGTGGTAGTGGGGAGGGTGGGGCAGTAAGGGAAGGTTGAGGTGGTAGTGAGGGACGGTGTGGTGTAGTAGTGAGGGTGGTGTGGTAGTGAGGGAGGTGTGGTGGTAGTGAGGGGTGGTGGTAGTGAGGGAGGGTGGTGGTAGTGAGGGAGGGTGGGGGCAGTAAGGGAGGTTGTGGTGGTAGTGAGGGACGGGTGTGGTGGTAGTGAGGAGAGGTGGGGGGCAGTAAAGGTTGTGGTGGTAGTGAGGGAGGTGGGGGCAGTGAGGGAGGTTGTGGTGGTAGTGAGGGACGGGTGTGGTGGTAGTGAGGGAGGTGTGGTAGTGAGGAGGTGGTGGTATTGGGGAGGTGGGGGGCAGTGGGGAAGGTTGTGTGGTGGTAGTGAGGAGAGGTGGGGGCAGTAAGGAAGGTTGTGGTGGTAGTGAGGGACAGGTGTGGTGGTGGGGGGTGGGGGCAGTAAGGGATTGTGGTGGTAGCAGGGACGGTGTGGTGGTAGTGAGGGAGGTGGTGGTGGTGAGGGTGTGGTGGTAGTGGGGGTGGTGTGGTAGTGAGGGAGGGTTGGTGGTAGTGAGGGAGGTGGTGGTGGTGAGGAGGTGGGGGCAGTAGGAAGGGTTGTGGAGGTGTGGTGGGGGTGGGGGGCGTGAGGAAGGGTTGTGGTGGTAGTGAGGAGGGTGGTGTGGTAGTGAGGGGAGGTGGGGGCAGTAAGGAAGGGTTGTGGTGGGTAGTGAGGAGGATGGGTGGTGGAGTGACGGAGGTGGTGGTGTGAGGGGAGGGTGGGGCAGTGGGAAGGGGTTGTGGTGGTAGTGAGGGAGGTGTGGTGGTAGAGAGAGGGTGGTGGTGGTAAGGGAAGGTTGTGGGTGGTAGTAAGGGAAGGTTGTGGTGGTAGTGGGGGGTGGTGGTAGTGAGGAGGAGGTGGTGGTAGTGAGGGGGGTGTGGGTGTGGGGGGAGGGGTGGGGGCAATAAGGAAGGGTTGTGGTGGTAGTGAGGGAGTGGTGGTAGTGGGGGAGGTGGTGGTGGTGAGGGGAGGTGGGTGGTGTGGTGAGTGGGGGAGGTGGTGGTGGTGGGGAGGTGAGTTGGTGGTAGTGGGGATGGTTGTGGTGGTGGTGGGGAGTTGGTGGTGGTGGGGAGGTGGTGTGGTGGTGGGGAGGGTGGTGGTGGTGGGGGAGGGGTGTGGGGTGTGAGGGGAAGGGTGGGGCAGTGAGGAGGTTGTGTGGTGGTAGTGAGGGTGGGGGCAGTAATGGAAGGTTGTGGTGGTAGTGAGGGGAGGTTGGTGGTGGTGAGGGAGGTGGGGAGAGTGGGGAGGTTGTGGTGAGTGAGGGAGGGTGGTGGTAGTGAGGGAGGTGGGGCAGTGGGGAAGGTTGTGGTGGTGAGTGAGGAGGGGTGGTGGTAGTGAGGGGGTGATATAGTGAGGGAGGGTGGGGGCAGTGGGGAAGGTTGTGGTGGTAGTGAGGGAGGGTGGTGGGTAGTGAGGGAGGAGGGGGTGGTGGGTGAGTGAGGGGGGTGGGGCAGTAAGGAAGGTTGTGGTGGTAGTGAGGGAGGATGATGGTGGTAGTGAGGAGGGTGGTGGTAGTGGGGGGTGTGAGGTAGTGAGGAGGTGGGGCAATAAGGAAGGTTGTGGTGGTAGTGAGGGAGGGTGGTGGTGGTGAGGGGGGGGTAGTGGTAGTGAGGAGGGGGTTGGGGCAATAAGGGAAGGTTGTGGTGGTAGGTGAGGGAGGGTGGGAAGTAAGGAAGGGTTGGTGGTAGTGAGGGAGGGGTGGTGGTAGTGAGGGAGGGTGGGGCTGTAAGGGAAGGTTGTGGTGGTAGTGAGGGAGGGGGGGTGGTGGTAGTGAGGGTGGGGTGGGGGCAGTAAGGGAAGGGTGCTGTTATAGGGATAAGGGGAACTCACCCAAGTAAAGCCGAGACAATTGATAGCGTCGGCTAGCATGTCCCCCAGCAACGATGGGTATGAGTTCAGTGCTGGGAAGTAAGCGTGCATGTACGGCGACTGCCAGTGTGTCACCTGTTAACAAGACGTCATACATAGGATCAACAAAAACCTGTGATCAGCACGTACTTAGGGTTCAACACATGTAAGGGGTTAAAACCTTTTACTTGTGAATAAAATTAATTAGACAATCAATATTCTCCCATATCATAATAATAAGATGCCAGGCAAGACAGCAAAATTGACACTGCACTCACCTCTGGGATGTTTTCTCTAGAGTACACAAGGAAAAATATATTACATAGAGACTTGTTTCCTTACATGTCTAAAAATGCATAACCTAAGTAATTTGGTTGTTACCTCACCGCCTTAAGTACACCATCGTGGAGGTCTATTGTACATTCTCCTTTGGAAAATATTTGCCATAATATCTTCGGCCGATTGAATTTTCTAAGTTTGATTGTTTGTGTGTGTGTGTGTGTAGAAAGGTTGGTGACTCACCCCTGGCATGACGACCCGCTCGATGTCGTTGAAGATGTTGTCCCAGGGCTCAGGGTAGTCGGGGGCGGCGTCAGGCACTAGGTCTCTCATGTAGCCCGGATTCACGTCAGGAAACACACGCCGTTCCCGGATGTTGTCCAAGTAGTCTGCTATGTAGTCCACCATCTCCTTACCTGAGATGAGGAAACGTTCACGGTTAACACATCTTGGTGTGATCATACAGTAGTTTAAGTGTGTTACACCTGTGGTGCAATGGTCAGCATGCAAGCTTTGCAAGCGAGTGTTCCAGATTTCGTTCCTCTGGCAGGGTGAAACAATAGGTAAGATTCATTACGAATCTGTTTATGTCTACCCAGCAATAATTGGGAACCTAAATGTTAATTAATTTATGGATCGTGTTCTGAGGTAGTTGGCGAGTTGTTCGGTCTTCTTGGATTATTTCTTGAACACTAGGTCATACAGCTTAGGATGTGTGGTGTTGTCGACAGCTTATGCACTTTAAACAAATTCACACTTACAGTAGATATCCATAAGGCCGCCTAGCTTCGCTTGCTTGCTTGCCTGATTTGTTTTTCTGGCCGTCGACATTTGAGGTCAGGAGAGATTGTGTTATTTGTTGGTTCCGTGGCTTTGCACGGTGTTACTTGTCTTTCTTCTTCTCTATATTCTTCTTGTCGTTACCAGACAGTTCAGCATAGACGTGGATCGCACATATACGATATTTTGGTGGACCCGTGGCTTTTCAAGGTGTTAACTGTTTTTCTTCCTACTTTTACTCTTCTCGTTACCAAGCGGTTAGTCAAAGGACTTGGGTCGCACAGGTACACAATCTTTTATTTAAGGGATATTTATTTATAGTCAGTGATGATGAATGGACTGCTTGATTGATGTGTGGGTTGAAAGACTCCATGAAGTGGGAGTGAGGTAGCAGCATACGCCTGACTTGTATGTACTACTGGGTGATAAAACCTATAGATTAGTTTATGTATATATATTTTTTAAAGAGGTTTTAACATTTTGTAGTTTTAGTATTTAGTTTGAAAGACAACAGGAGTATTATATATTTGAAGTACTGGCCTGAAAAGGGATATTTTTCTAGTGAAAACAACTCCTGTTGTGTTAGCCATCGAGAATCTAAAAGCCCACCTCGTCTCTCACTGCTGAGCGGCAAGAGCTTCTTGCATCTCCCCAGCTGACTGTTGTGCAATGTGACTGGAACACCACAAAGCACAATAATCGGCATAGAGGGAAATTCTCTATTTATCATAATTAAATATAAAACAGGACCAAAAACGCTGCCCTGGGGTATCGCATTTTCAAGGATAAATATGTCCGACTTTACGTTATTTTTCGAAAGTTTGACAGCAAATTTCCTGTCGTTAATAAATGTTTTAATAAAATGTGGTAGATCCCCCCTTAAAACTAAAGCGTAAAGTTTCTTGAAAATTCCAGTTCGCCAAGTCATGTCGTAGGCTTTTTCTATATCTAGGAATAAGCTCATTAAAAATTTTCTAGCTTTAAATGCCTTTTGAATATCTGATTGCAACCTTACTAGATGATCTAGTGCAATCCTGCTATGGAGGAAGCCACATTGTTGATCGTTTAGTAAGTTGTTTTCAAAATAGAACATTAGCTTACGTTTATTCATTCTCTAAATGACTTTACATAAGACAATTCGTGAGCGCAATAGGTCGGCACGAACTTGGGTTATTAAGGTCGCCACTCCTTTTTGGAATACTGTAAGTACGACATGCGCATATCTCCAAGAGACTGGGAACGCCCTCGACGTCCATATCTCGTTGTAGACCCCCAGCACCCTGAGCTGGTCTGCCATGCTCAGGTTCTGTAGCATCTCGTATGTAATCCCATCCGGTCCAGGACTGGTTCCTTTGCAGAATTTCAAAGCACGATCGAGGTCGTCTTCGGAAAACTCAGGGACCTGTGTATGCTTTCCTTCATGTTTCTTCGTGCTCGAACCCTCGCCTTCTTAAACTCAATGTGATTAATCTGGTTGGGTTCTCGGTTGAATATTCTGAACCTTCTATTGCGTTCTCGAATCGCTTGTTGGCAATCTGTTTTCCACCATGAAACTCCAGGCTTGCCGTGAATTGTAGAAATCTTCGGAATAGATTTTGTTGCCGCATTGATGATTGTAACTTCAATAGGTTTGATTTTATTGTTTATGTCTGCGTTGGGACAGTTCACTACGGCTTCACACGTGAATGACCTCCAATCTGCCTTCTTAAAATTAAATTGACTCATTGGAACAGCATCCGTCAAGCTGATTTCATAGGAAATACAAATCGGGAAATGGTCGCTACCCAAGGTGTCGTCATAAACTTCCCAACTTGTGTCAGGGTATAAACTGTCATTGACCAAAAATAAATCTATAACCGATAAGGTGCCGTATCTATCATCTTATCGTGTTGCACTGCCTACATTCAACAGTGGAATTTAAGATGTGGTTCGCTACTTGGTCCCATCTTCTATCCCTACTTTCATCTAATCAAGTGTGGTTGTGAGCATTAAAATCCCCCATAATGATGCTTTTGCGGGGCAATTGCCTCACTAGGGAATCTAGCTCCTCCACATATAGGGGCCTGTGAGGAGGGATATGTAGAGAACAAATACCTACGTGAGTTGTGCCAAATTCTACCCTGCATGCTACCGCACACAGAGGACTGCTTAACACAATCTCTATCTTTCCTGGATTAGGTCTACCTGTGAAGAAAAGCTGGTCATCTTCACCTTAGCACTGGCCATCTGTCCATACGAGACTCCTTGTGTTGGGGTTTGGGTTCCCTCCACAAACTTTCTCGCCTCTTTATAGCCAACTTTTTGCAATGCAACAACTTTGCATCTCATACTCCTTCTTCCAGACCTCACAGGTCCGGTCAGACCGTTGTTATATACAGTAGCTTGTGTTCTTATGTATACTTGTTTATTTTTTGTTTATATATGTTTACATGTGTGTTTGCATGTTTTTTGTGGATACGTATATATAAAATACAACATGCACACAACCAAGGAAGTTGAATGGATGGAGGCAGCACCCGCTGCCTCAAGTGAAGTCAATGAGTGTGACTGATGTCTTGACCAATATGGCGGTGCTTTTCTCTCAGTGACTTTATCCTCCTTGGTTGATCCCTCTATAATGTGCATAATAAATAAAACAATAGTAAAAATCCTACAGAGTTATCTGTAACCAACGTTTGTTCGTAAGTAGCTGCGGCAACTGTGGCCTTGTTGCCCTGACCAATATGGCGGGCTGGCTTCACGCGTCTCTATTACATACACAGCAAACACCGCCTCCACCAATTCAACCTCCTTGCACACAACATACACATGGCCACAATGCATATACACACATTTGAGTCATCTCCAATGGCAGACTTGCCTAGTAATACATAGAAGAACAACAAAGAGTATGGACACTAGTACCATAATAATGACCAGGATGGAGAGAATGGTGGCCGCGCTAGGTCAGATATAATATATAGAGCATATATAAGAAAACTGACATATCGTGAATGTCACGCATAAAGGCCTGCAATAAGAAATTTATGATGCCTCCTTCATAACACTACACCGAAATTTTTTTAAAGCGTGTAGAAGAAAAGAGTTCCTACAGTATTTTGACATTTTTGACGGGAGCAAAGCCGACGATGGAGAGGCAAGATACCACTCCACCGAGAACTGAAAATTTCCACTCTAAATATTTGAAGTGGTGAAAGCTGGTGGAAAAATGTACAACAGGTGATGATCAATGAAAATGGAAAAATAATAGCAGCTCCTTCAACTGATGATGGGTCAGTTATATTATGCTGAAGCCTCTGCTATTATCAGAAAAAGAGACAGTTAATGGAGGAAAATCTAATGATAAGTGGAGGAAAAGCTGGTGAGTAGTGAGAGAGATTTCCTGAGTTATGGCGGTATATCCACGCAAGGGAGAGTGGACCACCGCCTAAGCCTTTTTATAAGAGAATACCGAAACATATGGCGAAAAATATATACGTGCATAAAGCTTGAGAAACTGCGGTACAACGTAGATATAGAGAAATCCGATTGAGAAAGATTTAAGAGTTGTGATGAACGTTAATAACAGATTCAGCAATGCTATTTTACAGTTTAACTAGCATTAATGAGAACTTACTTTGATCATACAGTTCAGTTTTGGTAACTGTACTACAGAATAGATATAGATTACCTTGTAAGCATTCAGAGGAGGAGGAGGATAACTCACCAGTTATCCACAGGAAGAAACGCGTTTTCCCTCTCTTTTAAGGTGCCAGCCATTTTCTCCAAGATCTCAACGTATAATACACAAAGGCTCCTTGTCCTTAAGTCCCGCCCATATGGGGTACTAACTGTTGTCAATGTGTAACTACTGTACAATATAAACTCAGAGGAATACTGATTAGCATGGTGAAATGAGGAGAACTGAAGAAGAGCTAGGGTGTAGGAGAGGAGGAAGGAGAAGCAGTGGGAGAAATGGAAAAAAGTAGGACGAGAAACAGAGGCTGACCTGAGGCAACGTCTGTATCATGTTAGCGGGAGGCACAGATGTTATCACTACTGCCATCAACCCCCTCCACCCCCGGTGGGGGATAAATAGGGAAAGAGAGGAAGTGAAGGGTAGTGGCGGCTGGGAAAGCGGAATGTGGAAATTATGGTGCTTTTCTGAGTAATGGGAAGGGGCGCAGGAAGGTTGTAAGGATCTCATTCGAAAGTGACGGGAGGTGGGAGGGCGACTGGTGAAGCGTAGACAGAAGAGCTGCGTGAGGGAGGGAGCCAGGGAGGGCGGAGTAAAGTAGGTCACGGTATGAACTATTCTATTTCCACGCTAACCTGGCCCGTAAGCCACGCCCCTCATCTATAGCTACAAATATCTGATTGGTTCAAAGAAAATGTTCGAGTAGCTGTCCATTTATTCAACACTGAATTTGTTCACATTTGGTAAGCAAACTTGTTATTCTCTAAAATATTTTTAAATATTTGGACTATCAAAATGCAAATTAATTCAAGGCATTAGCACTTCAGAGAGGATGTTAGAAAATCTTAAATATTTACCTTAAAGGTCGAAGCCAAGGTAAGCAATCGCTTTCGAATGAAGTCTTTTCAATATTTCTTTCATTTAAACCAAACATAATACAAACAGAAACAAAATATGATACTAAACATATAGCAAAACAGGCAATAAACTACAGTTTGTATTGATGGATATATACCACATCATCTATAGAACTGATAAAACTTGATATAAATCCGCGCAATCCCCATCACTTGCCAGCCCCCTTCCAGCCACCACCATCTGCCAGCCCTCATATCAGCCACCACCACCTGACAGCCCTCACACCAGCCACCACCACCTGCCAGCCTTCATACCAGTCTCCACTCCCTTCCAGCCCCCCACCACCGCCTGACAGCCCTCACCATCCATTCTCACGCCACCTCCTATTACCATCAAGCCCTCATACCATAAGCAGCCATCCCTCACCATCACCCAGCTTTAGCAAAACCCTTTATTACCATCCAACCCTTACATCAGTCCCCACCACCACCCAGCCCTTACCCTAGCCACCTCCACCACCACCATTCAGGCCTCCCACCAGACCTCGCACCACCACATAATACGATGATAACAGTTGAGTGAATACAATTTGATGGTCGCTAGCCTCGCCTCGTTGTACTGGAGAAAAAGTAGTACTTATGTCTGCCTCCTGTGATAATTCTTCTTAATACCTCTATCTTGACAACGTTCTTTTTCCTATTCTAATTATAATTAGTTTACCTTGGATACAATGGTATTATTCATAGTTTTACTTCGGATACAATACAGGGGTGGCACAGCTCCTCAGCTGTTTTGACACATTTTGTCACAAATTTATAAGAAGTTTTCCCAATACCTTTCGCAGTCTCATTATCATTTCACATATAATATCAATTTTCTATTAATTTATACGATTCACCATAATAAAGTTTATACAACATAAAATGTCTTCCTGCCCAACACAGTCACTCCGATTCCCTCAATATAATAGATATAAGAAGTCTGCACTTTAAATGAAGTGTAAGAGTACCCCTATTACATGATACAGTTAATATCACTGCCTCGGCGCAGTGGAGATAACTTGAAACATACTGGAGAACTAAACATAATCATCACTAACTTATGACTTGACTTCAACTATAAGACTAGTATTTGTAATATCACACACGTGTATAGTAAAATAACAGTATTAGTCATACACATATACACCTTTAATATCATTTCTAGATTACATCATATGAAAATATAAATTTTTTCTTTCATATTAAAATGAAACACGTAAAATATAAATTTCAACATAAAACTAAATAGCGTCATCTTACCCATCAAATTGTATGTCTAAGGGAGTCTAATAATAATTATACATTACGGAAAAGAAAGACACCTCAAATTTATTTATCCTCCAATGAAAGAAAAATATACAGTAATTTAGTACGCTGTACTTAGTGAATACGCAAGGTAATATTTAAGTAAAGCACTAGTAAGCAAATCACATTGGTATGATTGGAGAAAGTAAATTATTTAGGACACTGGACCACTAAATGCTGCCAGTAAATGAGCCCTGCACAAATCCACGAGTAAAAAATTATACATATATTAAATCAAGTAGCCAACGTATATCAATATTCAATTTCTATACAGCCAGTTATCAAATTTAAATATAATAACTGAACTGAGAGGAGTAATATCAATATTTCATAAATACAAGCATATATTCCCGAATAAACATTGTTTTCTGTAACTAATTTCAGTTTGTAGTAAGTATAGTAAGTATATACATGATCACGCAAGTGCTGTTTTTGGTGATAATTAACTTGTTTACAATATTAGGCCACAATAATAAAAAAAAATGGCAGAAAAACGCGATTTTTGTTGATTTGAAGATCAAACAACTGTACATCACGGGTAGTTATTCTCATTCGACTCGCGATAAAATAATAACTATTCTCATTACTAACTTACAGTTTTCACAGTTTGCTAGGAGAAGGGTTGAGCTGCAGGATAAAAAAAAAAAGAAACTGAACCCTCTAGTTTATAAAACAACAAAATTATGATTGTTTGATCTTCGAAAAACTTTAAACGCTTTTTTCTCCGGCTTTTAAATTTGCCGCTTCATCCCCTTTTAATGCAGAGCGCCTCAATTGTGAATTACACGAAAGCGTTTGGAAGCGTCGTGTTTTCTTTTTTCATATTTGGTTATCAGCATATATATATATATATATATATATATATATATATATATATATATATATATATATATATATATATATATATATATATCATGTAAATCCACAATGAAAACGTGGATAAGATAAATCTTGATAAAATCACACGGGAAATCTTGATAAAATCACACATTTTCCCGTGTGATTTTATCAAGATATATATATATATATATATATATATATATATATATATATATATATATATATATATATATATATATATATATATATATATATATATATCACTTTTTCCTTAGAAACTTACCCAACGAGAGTATTCATGGCAAATTTCATGTTTATATCACCATTTGAACAATTCTTCCTGTTAGCTGCTGCAAAAATAGGCCCGAATTCAGAACAGTGATTTGAAACTGCATGGAGGTTTAAAGCAAGGATCGAGCAAAGATTGAAGATCGTTGGCATTCAGAATGATGGCTTGTACCAAAACAAAGATTCAAACCGGGTTTGAGATCGGAGTTGTCGATCCTCGCATTAATCCAACCTGGAGGTAGGTTTGGTGGTCGATCCTTCAAGCAAGTCAACTTGAATTTTGACAGAGCGCGGTTTTCAGCGATATCATCAAATTGGAAATTTTGTAGAGATGAGACTGGTGGTAGACAGGCAAAATCCTATTAATTTTTATGATAACACGTAATTTAAACAACGATATACAGTAGGTTCAGTAAGGAAGATTTCCTTGATATTTTCCGTGATATGGAGCATCTACTTGACAGACCTGTTGGCTATGGTTCACCTCTACCTCCCATTCATCACCTGATGATTGCATTGAGATCCTTCGCAACGAATAGTTTCAGGGGAAAAAAGATCCTGGCTACTGAATGTGTATAGTAATGTGTTACAACGCTTTCGTGTTTCGGGTTCATGAAGATCAAGTAGGTAAATAATGCTGACGCTTCTTTAGTTTGAGTGTTTTTCTTTTTTGGAAAACTATTTTGATGCATTTTCAATATTATTAAATCAATGCTGAGTGCATTTTGATTTTAATGTATTAATAAAAGAAAGTATTTTTTTAATATTACTAATCAGGGGACATGTGGGGTTAAAAGAACAGAAAGAAACCTCACCTAACTGAACCTCGCCAGGTTACTACACCTTGCATTGGTTATGAATATTGAATGTAATTATAGTAATAAAAGTAACTTTTGATGTGCAAAGAGAGATTTCTCCTTCGTGAAAACTCGTCGAGTCATAGTTGCCGCCATAATATTGTAAACATTACTGTCGATGGTGACTGGGTGTCGTAATGGTGTAGATGAAACATGATTTGCTGGAATTTCAGTATTCGAATCCTTGCTCGAAACTGAAGAAAATGCAACAGATTACCTGATCCGGGGTTAGAGCCGATGCTCTCAATATGGGTAATCAATCCACTGCAAGAAATGTCGGATCAAGGAATCCTGATTCGCACACCTGAGCCAAGTTCAAATCCCAGGCTCAAACTGCCGTTCTGAATTCGGGCCAGAGTGGCTGGGTGTAAACGGGAGTGCCTAGTATGGGCCAATAGGCCGGCTGCAGTTCCCTCCATTCTTATGTTCTTATGTAAACTGGCTGGCAATTAAAAATAGAAAAGTTCAGAAAAAGAAACAACTTACCTCTCTTCCTATACTCGTCGGAATCCATGATGGTTATGGGTGAGGCGGGTCTGTCAGAGATAGAGAGATCAATTAGTATTATGGTCACACATGTGCCTGAAAAGATAGATACATGTATAGGCAAATAAGCAGAAATTAAAAGAATTAAATAAATGAAAAATAGATGATTGTATAAATTAAGTAGGTGGGTGGATAGCTAGAGAAACAAATATCTAAATAAAGAGATAAAGGGATAGGAAGATAAATAAATTATATATATATATATATATATATATATATATATATATATATATATATATATAAACATTACCTCACTAGTCGGAAATCGAGCCCTGGACATCTGCATGTGAACAGGGATCGCTACCACTGCACCACAGGGACAATGAAAATAATATTAGGCTTTGCTTTATTTCACACAAACCCTGTTTATTCAATTTATTTTTTAAGCAACGTGAACCTCCATTGGGGATTGCCCGTAACAACTATGTGGTCGTAATAGCATTTTACCGGACTTCCGTATACAAACAATGCCTCACTAGTCGGGAATCGAACCCTGGACCTCTATGAACAAGGATCATGTGTATATGGACGGTTGAGACATGTGGTCTTGTGTTTCCTAGCTGGAAGTTCATGTTGCTTTAAAATAAAACAAACGAACAAGCTTTGTGTGAAATAATTTCAAAGCCAGGAATCCAATGCTCTGTTTGTCCATTTGAGGGATAACAAGCATTGCATTGACTGGGATAATGCCTCCTCAATATTACCATGTAAGTCAATTGACAGTAGGAACATCATAGAATCTAGTCTTATTAAACATACCGAAGCATTCAACATGAATTTGAGAAACGGCATGTACAAGCTGGACAATTTTGTAATTAAGAAGATTTGTGATCAGGTGAGAAGGCCAGGTCACTTGACCATCTGACCTGACCACCAACCGTTGTGTGCTATTTAAAGATTAGTAGGGTCATTACCTAATACCTGACCATTGTGGACCTGGTCTCACCCTCCTCTGTATATATACACCTTGATTTGTATTACTCTCTCTAGTCTGTACTCACCCCTGAAGATGTGAATTACACGAAAGCGCTTGGGAACTTCGTGTTTTCTTCTTTCCTTGTGGTTATCAGCATATATATATATATATATATATATATATATATATATATATATATATATATATATATATATATATATATATATATATATATATATATATATGTGTGTGTGTGTGTGTGTGTGTGTGTGTGAAGCTAGAGAGATAATTAAGGACAAAGAGACAGAGGGAGGAATGCCTGTGTGTTGCACACATGACAACATCGTCTAATTGGCATCGTTATCGAAGATGAGATGATTTACTGAGGTACTGACTCCTTAGTGATAGGTGGACCAGTGGCCCCTTGTTGTCTGCCTCACTGATTTCTCCCTATTGTCTTGGGTCACTCCACTTCTCTCTCCCTATATCCCTTCTCTTACTCTCTCATTTGGCTTATTCCATCTCACTTTCTCCTTGGCTTATTCCCCTCTCACTCTTTCCCTCTCTCTCGTTCTCTTACTGTCTCATCCCCTTTTCTCATTCTCTCCCTGCTTCGTCCCCCTATCACTCTAATCCTGTCTCTTTCACTCTGTTGCTCTCTTCCTCATTCACCCCCTATCATTCTCTTTCTGCTTTACTCACCTCTCTCACTCTCTCCTTGGTTCACTCTTTTCACTCTACCTGGCTCACTCCCCCATCTCTCTTCTGCTCACTCCTCTATTGCTCTATTACCCTTGGCTAATATTTCTCGCTTTTTCTCTAGCTAACTCTTCTCTTTCTTTTCCTGACTCATTCCCTTCTCACCCTTTCCCTGTCTCACACCAACCTCTCTCTCTTTCTCACTCCTCTTTTACTCTTTTATTGTTCCACTTTCCCCTGTCTCACTTCCCTCTCATTTCCCCCCTTCATAGCCTTTCTCACTTAAGCCACAAGTCCAGAAAACTGTGAGGGCAAATATTTCGGAGTGATAATTGTAAACTCCTGGAACAATCTGCCAGTGTGTGTTGTGACGGCACCGAGTACGAGCTCTTTCAAGACCAGACTTAACCAACACTGGAGTAGGTACAGATACATTCAGGAGCCAGTGCATACCCAGTACTTACCAATAGTGCGTAACAGAGATGTGGACGACAGCCCAAGAGGTTAACGAGCCGATCAGTGGCGAAGAGGATAGAAGTGAATGGTAAGTAAAAGTTATCTCTTTCTTACTTCACTCTTTCTATCCATATCCCACTCTCTACTCTTCTTTTTCCCTTCTCTTATTCCTTCTCTCAATCTGCCCATACTTCCTCAACATGTTTACTCTCTCTCCCCTCTCACCCTCATTTACTTATTATACATAATTCTCCTTCACCAGGTTGGTTTCCTCACATTCCATCCTACCACAAATTATTCCTCTTCCGCACTTCTCAAAAATTTATTTTCTTCCCATAGCAAACTCTACTTCCTTCCTATCACAAACTCTACTTCCCTCCCTCCACATGCTTTGCTTCCTTCCCATCACATACTCTACTTCCCTCTTCACACTTCAATTTCCTCTCTCCTCACACTCTTCTTCCTTCCCTTCACACATACTTTCTCTACCTCCCTACAATCCTCTGCATCCCTCTCCTTCTCACATTCTTCTTTCAACCCCTCACTGGTATGTTCTCCTCCCATCCATTCTCCCTGTCACCCACCTCTTCATCATTCCTCACCGGACATCGTATCCTAGGTAAAGGACTGAAAAGGGTGGGGGGGGGGGAGAGGAAGGGGCAGTGAAGTGATGAGCGAGAGGAACAAGATGCACTGTAACAATACCTATATTTTTACCTTTTATTCCCTTTATTTAGCTCTTCTTAGTTCTTAATTCTTTATTCTGCTCTTTATTTCATTCGCTGTATACTCGTGAGATGGAGGGGGTGAGGTAATTGGTGAGGTGGAAGAATTAAGGAAAGAGGGAGTGAGGGAGAGAGGGAGGACTGTGGCATGTGAGGAGGGAGGGTTTTTTTTAGTTTAACAAATTTATTGGCAGAGCTTGTACTACAGTTTGCCTATTCTGAGTAATTCAGTCAGGTCTTGACACTGAGGGTGGTATCACTTCTCACTGTCACGCAGGACAGAGGTTCACACACAAAGAAATACATCATATTCATTAACAACTATAAATGTATAGAGGTCAGATTCATATGGATAATGTCACTGTTCACTGCCATGCAGGACAGAGGTTCGTACACAAAGAGTTGCATCATATTCATTGACAGTACATATACATATATGTAAACACACACACACACACATATACATACATATACGTATATACATACACATATACATGTACACGTACATATACATGCACACACGCACACATACATACATATACGTCGGTCAGATTCATGTGGGTAATGTCACTTTTCACTGCCATACAGGACAGAGGTTCGTACACAAAGAATGCATCATATTCATTGACACTATATATAGGTCAGATTCATGTGGGTAATGCCACTGTTCACTGCCACGCAGGACAGAGGTTCGTACACAAAGAAGGAAATACATCACATTCACCAGCAGCATATATAGGTCAGTGGATCACATACATTGGAGTCATATTCTAATTGAAGACTAATCAGTGTGGGCTAGCAAATTTGGGATAAACAGCAAGAATGTCCTCAAGCACACCTGATTCAATGAAGTAATTACATAGTTCAAGATACAGTAAGTCAGGTGGCCTGAAGTCTTTGACAGTGTCACATTCAATAATATAGTGTTCAAGTGTATGCTTTAAAGGTTTATCACAAAGTTTACAAGGAGGGAGGGGTGGCGAGTGAGAGAGAGGAGGCTCACCGCTGGTTTGTGGTTAAGCTAGGCCCTCACACAAGGGAAACAGGAAGAATGGATGAGGGACGATGATAAATGGGGAAGAGGAATAACATGCAATAACCGAGACATTAGGGGAAACAGGTGATAGGTGTGTTGTCACTTAGGACTCAATGTATCACTGCATAACACCAAAGACATATGACAATGTTTTACTCAACACGAAGAGGGAAATATATAACACTTCTTAACGGTTCTTTGTTTACTGATCACCTGTTCTCCTAGCTAGTTAAACAGGGGTCACATGAATCACAATACATTTTGTGAAACGGATAAAACCTTAAGTATACTCACTGATATATCTACACTGTATATACTGTATGTTGGGCTAAGAAAACGAAAAGCGACCACAACGCGTTGTGTTGGTTTGGAAAATAACCAAAAGCTAGATTGTGCTATAGGGTAGGTTAGGTTAGGTTGGTTTGGATTGGGTTAGGTTAGTTCGAATTGGGTTAGGTTAGGGTAAAATCCAAATGCAAAATTTAACTTTCTGGTTATTTTGAAAACAAGCACAACGCGTTGTGGTCGCTATTCGATTTCTGAGCTCAACACACACACACACACACACACACACACACACACATATATATATATATATATATATATATATATATATATATATATATATATATATATATATATATATATATATATATATATATATACACACACATAACCGTAACTATAATTTAATACATTAGTAGCTCCCAGTTATAATTTGGAGTGAAGCCGAATTCGGTTAAGTGTAGACCAATATGTCGGAGTTGAGAGAAACCAGAAAAACTAACTGGAATCTCCTAATTGATTGCCGGGTTTGCTTACCTCTGTGAAAAAAAAAATCCGTTTTAGTGCTCATGTGACGCCGCCTTTACTTATGAGATGTCAAACCACTTCAAAAAGAAGTCAAGTAAGGATGTGAAGAGTCAAAGAGGGATATCGAGAGAACTAGCAAGGCAGACTTCGGTTCAGCGAGACGGAATCTAATCCCCGTCTTACAATCCAGCACAAATATCTCACTTATAGAGGTCAACAAACAGCCTCAATGAAGCGTCTTCACCAGATGTGTCCAAAGGGAGGAAGGTTGTAAGGAGAAAGGAGAGAGAAAAATGGAGAGGTGAAAACGAAAACACGTGAATATATATACAATCAATACCCAAC